GATTAATACTGCAAATCACGCGACATAAAATTTTCGTTGGGCGTAAATTAAAGGAAGTGCGAGATTGTTGTTGAATTCTTTTGTACCGTACATCTTTAATATTTAATCCACGTTTAGTACCTACATATTACGAGACTGCATGTGTATGTTACATTCTGTTCAATACAATGGAACAACTTTTGCCATTGGGTTGTGATTCTCTCGGTAACGCTCGCGTCGATGGAGTCACTTGTACTCTAATCCGCGGGCATGAGTTCGAATCTCGCTCGCTAATACCGCCAAAGAGGCGCAGCCAGATGAGGCTATCGGCCGGTCACTCTTGAAAATACTGCGAATAGGTGGATATCACAATCAAATGTAGCTACAGTTAGCAGGTATTACCAGTAATCTCGCGCGACTGCTCTTTTCATGCTCGCTACGTATTATCTGCAAACGGTAGCACTGTGTCACAGCTCATCAATGCGTTCGATAATAAGTTTTAATCAACGTATTAGCTGCGTTTAATTGTTAATTAATTCATTTGTGTAAGCGCATCATTGTCACAGCACCATTCAGAAACGTATAATATTTATCGCTTGATTGATTATGTAATGATTATGTATAAAGCTCAGATTTTCGTTCGTCAAAAAAGACTTTGATTTATAGATCGATTATCAATTGTAAGTTACTATTAAGTTACTTTCATTTATCTGTATATATTTTACAAATATTCTATAATATTGTAAAATATTATTCTAAAAAATGGAGGATAGATAGCATCATCTACCTTTAAATTAAAATAGCATAAATTATGATATGTATATAATACATATAAAAAATAGCAGTATAATATTTTAAAATATTATAAAATATTATACTGTCTCTTTATGTTATTTTAGAGATACAGATGATATTACAATATTTTCCAGTTTTTGTTCACGCACTGAGAGAAAAATGTTTGATATTTTTGTTACTATGATTGTATGGTAAAATAATTATGATCAAAATCTTTTTATAATTATTACTGCTATAATGTTAATTTTTATTATTTTTGTGCTATAATTTTGATTTTATATATTTTTATTTCATAGTTTTATTAAAAAAGATTTTATTATAAATCACAGTAATTTCAAATATTAATATAGATACGAATATAGTAAATAAAATAATTGTATATTTTTATGTAAATACTATTACAATTATAATTACAATTAATATAACATATTTTCTTAACATATAACAGATGACTGAAAAATGGATATTAAAAAAATAAACAAACAATTATTTTCATTTATGAGTATGATGGTTGTAACCGACAAACTAAAATGTATTTGCAAATACGCATATTACGCATATGAATATTATTAAACATCACGATCCACTTCGGCTAAAAATAGAATTCTTTCTCTTATTTATTCTTATCAATCTAATTTTTACTTGTAATTATAAATAAATTATAAATGACTATAAATTGTAAATTACTGTTAAATTAATTGCAATCATTTTTTCTCTCAGTACAAAATTCAAAAAAATCAAAGATCTACATCAGGAGAATTTAATCAATTAATCGGCGAAGATAACGATTTCGTGAATTTCGAGTCAACGAATGGTTTTTTAGATAGTTTTTAATGATATTTGACCTAATGTTCTGCCCCTTTTCTCGACAAACATCAACATTTGGCTGTAAACGTCTGAGATTACGCGTCTAAGCGCGATATTCTAATGGACGGGGTAAGCAGGCAGCCAGCTTTCTCTCTTGTGCATTTAATCGAATGGGTTAAAACTGCGGTTATTTGCAGTGCACTTCGATCGAATTGGCTGCCGTTTGCATAATCTCCTTCCGTTGCCCGTCGCGTCGCATTCGTCCACATCTGCACGTCTTTCTTTCATCGACTCTCTCTCTCTCTCTCTCTCTCTCTCTCTCTCTCTCCCCCCCTTTCTCTCGTTCTCTCTTTCTCTGTCTTCCTCCTTTCTGTCTCTTCGGCCTTTCCCGGAGCACCTTCCCTTTTTCCATCCGGTCGTACCTTCCATCCGCGAAAACGATCGCGTTTCTTTGTTCAAGGCAGGCGGGAAATTTAGGTTCCTCTACGATCGCGCTTGATTTATATCCATCGATCGATCGAGTTCCACGACGGCGGCGGATCGTTCACCTCGCATGCCCCGAGGGAAGCTCGATCGCGGTCAGCGCGCGACGGACGATCGCCGCGAACGAATCGTCTCAATTGCGACTTCTTGCCGAGATCGGATTTCCGCAGATCGACTGCGTTTACGCGAGCCTGAGGTCGACGACGACCTCGGTGACACAGGGGATACGTGTTCTTACGTTAGGAGAAAACAAATGACACACCATGATCGCTTTGAATTTTGCACGTAACCGATTTGAATATATTTTCACGCAACCGTAAAAATTGCCGGCCTTGTCTCTGACGTACTGAAATTGCGAGATTGTTTCCGCAACGTGGAATAAAAATATTTGTTTCGAGAAATTTATACGCGTCCTCTGGTCGGACATATTTTTCTTGGGGAGAGTAAGAGATCTTGTTTTGTAAAATAATCCTGAAACTTAAGTATCGTTTCTTCAGTACGTATAAGATCCTCCGAATAAAATGAGGACGCCGAGGAGCGCAATTTGCGATTAAACATCGCATACAAAATTATCATACTGTAATCACGTAGCTTTTGCGTGAAACGTGACGTGCGTGAATTTAACGAAAATTCATGGCTCAACGTATCATAAAATCATTTCGCATTACGTTATGAATAGCACGGCGCTCGGCATACAGCAATAACCGTTAATGTCCGTGTAATAATTGTTCGCGGTGTATTATTAATACAACTTAATTACCGGTAAGCAATCTGCGATATAAATATTTGCAGAAATGGCAAGTAACATTTACCATTACCGTTATTTTTTTATAATAACGATTTATAATAATGACGTTACTATTTTAATGTAATGTTAGGATTGAAACATTCGTTTGTGGAAGTAATACGTTCCACCCTGAAATAATGCATATGAAGAACAGTTTTTTACTAAAAAGTATTTAAAATTTATTATAGGTAGATACAGATCTAAAATTTAATTCAATAATAATAATTAATTATTTTAAATTAAATTTGTATATTACAAAAATTTCTGGTTAAAAATGGACAAATCAGAATTTTCTAGTTAAATCTATTAAAATTCTAGTTTTGAGATCACTAGAATTCTGATTGATATGTAATTGTTCTAGTAAAAATGAGAATTCTAGTAGATTTTACCAAAAATGTATTGTATTAATCAGAATTTTGGTTATCTTACATAGAATTCTAATAAATTTAACAGAAAAATTCTGATTTATCCATTTTCAACTACAAATTTTTTTAGCGAATATCAAAACTTTCTACATTAATTATTTTAATAGTTCAATAAAATTATTTTAGATCTGTAAATTTTTAGATATTTGATTAAAATCTTTTTATGTGTATATAGTTTTCTTAGACATCCATCCAATTATTGGTTAATATTATTATATTGTCATTAGTTGCAATAATAATGTGATGAATAAGAACTTGATAAGAGTTTTATTCAGTGGCTGAAGTCGTTTTTCTGAGTAAAATGCGTATGACTTGCGTAGACAGCTCATTTATTGTCTAGTATCAATACATTATTATTAGTTGAAATACTGCATAGTTTGTATTTTTTTGTCTGGTAAATGAGTTCAGATTTTGTGCATCTATTGTACACGGTAATTGCAGTCAAAGCAATATAGATCTTTTTTTACAGTTATATTTGTCAAGAATAAAGGATTTGATTAGAATCCATTTGTGATTGATTGCGTACCAATAACGTTGCACTCTCATTCACCCCTTGGTCATTAGAACTTTTTTTTATAGATTAGGAAATTTAACTTTTCACTTTTACTAAACAGAGTTAATATGACTGCCCAGTAATTGCTCGAAAAATGCATGAAATTTCTATCAGGACATTACATATTTCTCATTTAAAAAAGTAACGAGTTACTAAAAGCGACTGTTCCAATCATGACATTGTTACGTCACAAAAAAATGGTAACATTACCAAATTGTTATTATAAAAAAGTAACTATAAAAATAACGGCGTTTTAAATGAAGCATTACTTGCTGTCTCTATATTTTCCGTCCGTCGGGTGGAATGTGTAATAGTCCTGAATCCGCGGCGTTATGAGCCGGAGAGCTCTTTGCGCGCGAATTACATCGGTTACGCTAAGTTTGTCGCGTTATGCGGGACGACACGAAGTTTCTTGTTAAATTGCTCGCCTTCCGCTTATGCGCGATCCTGAAATATATATATATATATATATATGTATATGAATACACACACACACATATATATATATATGTATATTATATATATATGTATATACATGTATTGGTATGTACATGTATATATATCATTGTATATCGTTCAAAGTGAAAATTTCCCAACGGGCGTTCGCTTTAAACGTCGCTGAATATTTATGATCCCAATCTCTTTTCAGCCTACGGTAAAACGAGGTTTACCGCCATAATAGCGATGGGGTACGCGGCGTATCCGCGATGACTTTAATAACTAGTTACCGGATTAATTGCGTCACTTTGTCACCGTTAATTTACCTATTAAGCACTTATCGATAGAATGACGTATCACGGGCGTGCGCGGCACAATTATTCATTATGCTAATTGCACGCGGCTCTGCTGTAGATAAATCTTACTCACTCTTTCCGATCGTGTAAATGCCATTGTGACGTTTATATCGGCGCAAAAAGGAAGTGCTTACATATTCGAAACTCATAATTTAAAAGTGAAATCTCGGGATGTTGCAAAAGTCGGAGAGATTTATATATTTCAAAAAATTCAGAAAAATCTCAGAAAGATTGAAACGACTCTACGATCAAAGGGGCAGCATGTAAATCGCGGCCGGCCTTAAAATAGCAAGAAAAAATAAATTATGCAACGGGGAGGAGAAGAGTGAACGGGGGAAGGAAGAGGTGTCGCCTCGGCGAGATTAAAGCTGCCTCACCTGTCGTCAGAGAAGAGCAGAATAGTGCGGACAGTAGTACGAGCTGCATTTTAGTCAGACACTTGCCGCACCTGGAGCACGATTCGTCGTCGAGCGAAGTGGCGTCCCACTTCTTTCTCTTCTGCACCCTCGAGTACTTCATCGTTCACTTGACATTTGTGCAGGGCGGTGCCGCGGGGGTTACAGGGGGAGGATAATCGCGGCCGTTTGTACCGTTTGTCGAGGAAAAGAATGGGAGTTACAGCCGCAGAATTTTGCAACCGTCGGAGAATTTCCGTTTAATCGAGTCCACCCGCTGTCTCAACGCTCTCTTCGTTCCCTCGTATTCGGGGTGAAGACGATCAGCGATTCCGACGACGCCACGTGTTCCTCACCGAGAAGATCGTCGGTGTCGATATTCCTCGATACCTTGGAGACAGTCGAGAGCCCGCATTTGAATGTTGATTTCGACCGAGCCAGCGAAATTCCTGCGCGTTCGACGATTTGTTCTCACTCGACGTCTCTCCCACGCTTTTCGATTCTCGCGGGAGGATTCCTCGTGCTTTTTAAGAAGAAAAATCCGAACATATATATGTATATATATACCGATTTAGCGTAAAAACAATTCCACTTTGCGTTCAGATTTAATGGAACGCTTGGAATCTCTCGACATCCTCGTGATTTATTTTTCCACCGTAATGTTGCTTTTCTAATTTGCTCCTTTAGAAGTACTGATCGACCGCGATATCATAGAAGACAGCTGTTGTAGCACTTGCGAATTAAATCAAAATTGAATTATCACGTTAGGATGTTTTATCCTTTCCTTGATTTATTTCTTCAACGAGGAGATCCTCCTGATTTCTCGCGAACGGGAGTGTTTTTCCGACACCGCCACGTGTACGTGTTTTCGTGGAAGCCACAATAAGCGCACTTAGCCTTCGTATATCCGCACGAAAGTAGTTTCGCTATTACTCCGCTTTACTTGGGTCATTCCGTGGAGGTCTTCCTCGGGGGCTTAACGATCCTCCTTTTATCGTCAGTTGTTAGACGGTGGCTGCTATTTCCGCCGTAAACGTTGTCCCGTTAATGTTTTTTGTCTCCAGCAACTTCCCCCGGACACTCTCCCTCGGGCGCTTTCGTGAACTTTTTACGAGGGCGTCTCTCCCGATCCCTTTTTTTCTCCTTTTCCTTTTTTTTTTCGCGCACCCGACGTTGCTCAGGTGCGCGCCGCGCTACCGAGCACCCGTATATTTCCCCGTCAAACGGATATCACTCCCTCGCGAAACTCGTCCCTTCGTTCCTTCTCGAACAGAACGACCCTCCTTCGCAACGCGCGCATTAACGCTGCTCCCGCCGTTTTTCTGGATTCCCTCGCTAATTAACGCGGAAAATGATTACACGCCACGAGACGTGAGCGTCGATGCGTCTCGAGGAGCCCAGACCTCGCATTGAGTTCCTTCCCTTCGAAGTCAGATGAGTGTACTTGAAAGGGGGAACAAACTGATTCGCCTTTCTCTCACCGGTGACTCCTCATCGTTGATTAACCGGCGCTGGCCGCGGCTCGTTAGTTACGTTAAAGCCTTTGCGAGAAAGCGGTGCAAAATATCTCGTTTTACAAATTTCATCCGGCTACCGGTCGAATCACACTTTGCGTTTGGATCCTTTCTCATTCACTTCGCTATTGCGCAACGATAGCAGGGAAAAAACAGAGAACAGCGAGCGTAAATTTCCAGTTTTTTTCGCGTTTATTTCGCGGTTCAGTGAATTCCTCCGTGATTTTTTTCCAGCGCCACACGATCTCTTGTTTTCCCCACGAATCGGGAAAATTTCTTCTGACGTTTGCAAATTCTTGCGAGAGCGGAAACGGATCCTGACACGAACGAGAGCGACGCATCCACGTGACACTTTTGGCCACGTGCCGCGATCGCAATTGTTCACCTTTATTTTCTCCCACTACTACGTATGTCCGTCGCGAGCGCGACTCCTTGCATCGCGCTCGATTATCGTCTTAATTCACACATTTCTCGGATTCGTTAATCGTCACTGTATCCTTCTCAGTGGTTCCTCAAGTATCCTGGCGTATCCTAGCGTGCGCACAGTCACTTTCAAACACACCCTTCATTGACTTCTTCGACGATCGCGATCGAATCTCTCAGTTCAATGGACGACTCCGTCGAAGTTACACGTATCACTATATTGTAGTATTCTTTATTTTTAAAGTTAATGAAAAAATACGAGTCACGACTAAGTGATGGTCACTTGTCTCCACGTCGCGTTCGAGAGGAACGTAAGTGGGTTCCTGCGAACATGCGTGACACCGTAAATTCGCGCGCTGACAACGAACACCGGTCTCGTCGCAGGTTTACCCGAGTACCTTTACCATCGGCAGTTCGTAGTTGACAGAAACCCTTGGCGGGAGCGGTACGACGAATAAGGTGCCACTCCCACCCGCGCATGCTCCACCACCACTCTCCGGATCATGATCCCCTTCTCTCCCTCCTCCTTTTGCTTATTTTCTCCTTTCCCCTTCGTCGAGCCCTTCTCTCGCTTCTCTTCCTTTCCATCGGCTTTCCTTCTCACGCATGATCTCCCCATTTACTGCATTTTCAAATCGTTTTCTCTCACTCCCGCATACCAGGTCGTCTTCTGTCGTTTTCTCCCTATTTCTCCCCCTTGGTCATCACCATCGAATAATCGCACGTGGTGTTCGACCATTAGAGTGGGGCGATCTATAAACCAATTAATTCGGGCAATAAACTCGACCGGAGGTCGACCTATCCGGACCCTTGTCTGTGCATCCACAAGAACACGCTACTGGATCCTTTTAGAGACTTTCTTCGACTTGACTCGCCTTTGTTCGACGTTGATAGCAAATCGGCTTGTCACATCGAAAGCTATCACCCTATCTCGTTTGTTGAAACAAGCTTAACCCTTTAGCCACGTATGGTCTGTCAGAGGGATGTAGAATCTGTCAGAAACGATGGATTTACGAGACTGTGCGATTTACGAGATTGATGTTCTTCTCCTTTTTTTTTTTTTAGAGTTTACGCTCGACTAATTTAAAACTCATTCTCTATAGCTTTTTAATTGGATGTAATTAAGCACTTGATACACTTATTCTTTAATAATCGTTAACCCTTCATTACTGGCGTAAGGCGTCCAAGGTACTTCTGCAGTTTTATAAACTCGTTAAATGTTTAAATGTAATTTATATACATTATTATACTCAGCGTACATTGTTCTACAATTTAAAATAACTTTTTGCATTCACAGAATGTCTACAATATTATCAGTCTTTATTTAAATTATGTTAAAAAAACTACTTGAGTAATGTAGGATTAAAGAACGACAGTTGTTCAACAATAATAAATTATATTTTCTCTCGGAGATACTATAAAAGTTTTATAAATTATTGTGACGATAAAAAGGTGACACGTCTCAAAATTAGCAACTTATTTTAATAGAGCATTTTTTTAATTCTGAAATAAAATGTTCTATCATATATAATCAATACGTATAACTTTACATTTTTCCATGTTAAACTTTTAATTAAAGTAATCGGATCCTAGCCTGGTACCCAATAATGTCCTATGTCGCTATTTATGGTAATTAATAATAATAATATCATCATTATTATATACATTAATAATTACACCGTGCATTCAACAGATACCATTAAAGTAAGTCGTGTAGGCTGTTCTTTTGACTCGATTGCATCAGTTTAATGCTCGTGTTTGTTCATTCTGTTATTATCAATAAAGTAAAATGCAGAACGCGATCGTGATATAATATTTTGTGCGTAAGTAATTGTGCTTTCTGTAACTATCAAAAGATGATTATTAATTTCCGTAGTTTATTTTTTATTGTATTACAACTTTGTATTTATACTTTACAACCTTGTCTTTTGTTTATCTTTTTGTCACAACGTTTTGTTGTAATCAAAGAGAGAAAACTCTTTGTAAGGTAGAATCAATTTGAATAAAATTAACCTGGGCGTACCGAACACGCATCGATTGTAACGGTTTTTTTTTGTATTTTTGTTATTCTAAATCACGATTTCTAATTCATCTGTTAAACTTTCGTGGAAATGAGAGATAAATGGATAAATAAATAAGCAGATAAGTAAATTATTTGGAAAATATAGTATTTTGTGTATTCTCTTATTATACGTTAACAAACATGTTAATATGTTAATAATCTTTTAAAAGCAACATTGGATTTATTTTTTATTTTTTAAACATTTTTTTAAAGGGAAAAACATATATTTAAGTCATATTGAGTACAATACGTATGATCTAATGTTAGATGATTTTCTTGAAATGTTCACTGCATCATATAAATAGTTGAAAATATCTTATTTATTTTTTTTATTCAGAAATGTTTTATTTTTTAAATCTGATTATTAATTTTCAATTTTGATCTCAGTAAAAATTAGAAAAAATTGCAATGCTTGGATGCCCTATAAGATATATCATTTATGATCTGATTATCTTATAAGCATTCTTTAAAATTATATCGTAAATTTTCAAAAGATCATTTTTTTATTCTGAATTGGAACATTTTAATTAAGGGGGGAGGTAATAAATATACACTTCACTTTCTTTGTAACTATGTTACACTTTTATTCATATGTTATTATATATGTTTATTTATATGTTATTTTGTATGTTATTTAATTATATTTAGTTTTTAATATTGTACCATGAGTTTTTAAAATTTAAACACTATAATCCTAACGCTAATTTTTTGTATTCATGTCTTCATTTTTCTATCAATGTGGCGAAATGCGATATAATTAATTGTTGTACATGTAATTGTATATGCATTAAACTGCAAAATTAATATAATGCTAGAATGGAAATAAAATGAGATCGATTTCTTTAGCACGATTAATTTAGCAAGAAATAACAAGGGACCACACACATACACGCACACTCACACAAAGATTAAGACATCGTGCGTCCGGGCGACCGTCACAATCTGTTTTAATTTGTTAAATATATTCATTGCTCTCTCTCTCTCTCTCGTCTCCGTTAGAGCGCGGCATCTAGACTCCGCTTGCGTAAGTTTTCACGATGGCGTTGTCCTTTATTCCCCGGACCCAATGAGGGATTATTAAAGAAAGGCGCTCTCCTAGTAGCGGGCTGCGTAATAAATCAATTA